CCCCCGCCCCGGCCCGGGGACACCGCCGTGGCCGCTCCTGGCTGGTGCGCCAGGTCGTCAGGGTGTGCTGAAGTCGCATTTTCTTCTTTGTTCCTTAAAACGCCACGTTTGGCGTCAGCACGAGTCTGAGATTCTTCCGTTCCCGAACCCAGAGAGGAACTTCGTCCTTCCAGAAGAGATCATTCAGGAGGTCCGAGAAGGTGAGACGTGGCAAGGCCCAGCATGGGCCACGGGCAGGGCGGTCGGGAGCAGGTGTGAGGGTCCCCACGGACCCCGCCACCGCCTGCACTCAGGAAGCTGAGGCCCACGTGGGCGGCGAGCACCATGGGCTTCCTGAACTCGGCCGTCTCCCCACAGGAAAGGTGGTCATCGAGGAGGAGATGAAGGAGGAGATGAAGGAGGACGTGGACCCCCACAGTGGGGCCGACGACGGTAAGCCCGGTGCACACAGCATCTTAGAGCAGGGCAGGGTCTGAACGGGGTGGGCCGCACCGCACACAACGTGGCTGATCCTCAGCCTGAGCCTGTGACGTGCAGGGGCTAGGGCCGCGGGGCTTCTGGCCCAGGAGGAAGCCCTTCGGGTGCGGAGGTCACGTGTGTAGACAGGTCTTGCGCTCAGCGAACAGGGAGACGAGAGAAGGTTCTGGGTGTCCTGTCTCAGCCAAGTGATCTTGTGTCTCAGTTTTCTCGTCCTCAGGGAGCTTGGGGAAAGCCACAGAGAAGTCCGGCAAAGACAGAGAGAGGAGCTCTTCGGACCTGGGGTGCAAGGAGGGGGCGGACAAGCGTAAGCGTAGCCGGGTCACCGACAAGGTCCTGACCGCAAACAGCAGCCCCTCCAGCCCCAGCGCCGCCAAGCGGCGCCGAACATAGATGCCTTCGGCCCGGGCAGCAGCAGCGCAGGGCGAGGGGCCCAGGTCCCGAGAGGTGGCCAGCTGGCCCTGGCTGCCCTGCAGCCCACGGGACCGTCCTGCCCTCGGCTCCCCGGGTGCCGTGCATCCAGCAGGGGAGCCGACGGGGCTTCCACGTGTCCAGTCAGACCTGGGACTGGAACGGACACCCCACCAGGCCAGGCCCACCCCAGGGTGAGGGCTCTGAGTCCAGGCTGTGTCTCCTGAGCCCCACGGCTTCCTCGAAACCAGGACTCGTGCCACTGTGCTGGGGCACTTGGCCTGGCTGCCACCGCTGCAGGAGAGCCTGCGCCAGGAGAGGCCGCGTCAGCAAGCAGGAAGTCCTCATGCCGTCCCGCATGTCCTCCCTGGGCTGCGTGGTTCTTCCGTGGCCCTTGGCGAGCCTCTCTGCGGACGGTATCGTCAGGAGGGTGCAGCCTGGACACCGTGCCACCTACGCCCCGCGTGCACTCCCGCTGGAAAACCACCTGGACCCTTGCCCTCGTTCGCTTGTACTGTAAGGGTGTATATAACTCGGTTGATATTTGACTATTTAATTTCTAAGAAGCCTATTTTACTAGCATTTGATATGGAAACGCCGCAAAAGTCGGACTCACGCTGTATTTTTTCTGAGACGTTCTGTTCCAAGGGGACAACTCCTGAGGTCCTTTCTCCTGTTCCCATGCCACATGCAGAGATTTGTAGCGGTTATTTTTGTATCCCCGTACCTTGTAAACTGAGTGAGCGGAGGGCCCGTGGGCGGCCGGGGTGGCACTGGCCCCCGTGGTGGTGGCAGTGCGCTTTCATTCAGCTGTGGGACATTAAAGCCCAGAACACCGTCTGGAGTCTGTGGGTGCTGGCTAGTCCCCTCTTCCTCCGCGGGGGCTCTGGTTTGCCCAGTGAGGGAGGCACACTGGGTGATAGCCCCTGCTCGCCCGATGCAGTATGCAGAGACCGCAGGCTCCTGGCAGCTGCTTTGTGACAGCCCCTCGGGGTACCCTCAGGATAACCTGACCGGCAGCCCCCAGGCCTGTGTGCCCTGGCTGTGGCACTGGGGCTTTTTATCTGTTAGACGCTTTTTAAGACTGGTGGCACCTTCATAGGGAGGCCCTGCCGTAGTGAACGGCCAGGAGTGACATGCCTGCCCTGCCAGTCACCTCCCCAAGCTGCTCATCTCGACACAGCCTGTGTCCATCCGTCTGCAGTACCGCCCTGGGCAGCGCTGACCGGCGGC